GGGCAGGAGGTGAACTGGGCAACCTCTCCAAGTAGAAGTCCACACTCCAAATGTAGGTCTGGTCGGGGACTTGAACCGGCGACCCTACGGCTCACAGTCCAAGCCCCTACTGACTGCCATAGATTTAGTCTCTAATTTTGCTCTCAAAGTGCACCAGATTAATGCATTTAACTTCAACATTTTAAAAAAAATCTTCCCGGGGGAGCTTGCCCCCGAACCCCCCTAGAGGAGGTGAGGTCCACCACCTGCCCTCACCCCCTGTTAAATTGTCTCACCCACATTGAGGATGCTTCCTACGCCCATGTTTTATTCCATGTGTCAAGTCAGGCAAATTGGGTCCAAATGTTATTGCATCAATGATCTGTTAACATTAAAATCACTAAATATATGCTGTAACTATTTTGCTCTAGGCAACTCAAGGGCTCAGGTAATGTGATCACTATATGAATAATGGTCCAAAATAACATTAAATGCATAGGGTTTTTTGTTAAGTAACATACTTTCGTCGCCGGCCGGCCGATCCATGTCGCGCATTAAGTGGGCCTGTCTCTCAATTAATCCCCGGGCCACTTTTTCCCCCCAGTCTGCCCCTGGCCCCATGTACATTACAGGGCTCGACATTAACGACTGCCCGATGGCCCGGGGCCATCTAGTATTTAGCTCGGGCAATGAAGCCTCACCTGCTGGGGGCCATCGGGCAGTCGTTAATGTCGAGCCCTGTAATGTACATGGGGCCAGGGGNCGGTTCGGTCCGTTCGGTCGCGTCGTCGAGTGTGTGTGTGTGTGTGTGTGTGTGTGTGTGTGTGTGTGTGTGTGTGTGTGTGCGTGCGTGTGCGTGCGCGCGCGCGTGCGTCCGTGGTGGTTGTATAGATGCTAAAAAAGATGCTAATGATACAGTGTTTGAAGGTTTTCTGCATTATTCGAATCAGAGCGGTTAATGACAATCCCCCTCTTTCTCTTTTACTGAGCAGAAAACGGAGCCTTTTAATGGCGAATAATCCTAATTGTCTTGTTGCCACACACTGATTGAATCAAATAGCAGCTTTTCTTCTCCTGCCAAGAGCGTGAATGTTCATCACATTGCTGTATTCAGCCTATAGCTCCCTCTTTTGGCAAACAGAAGAAAGGAGGAGCGTGAGGATAAACTAAAGATGGCTTAGTTTCAGGTTGCTTGGTGACAAAAGGACATTTTAATCAGGAAGCTGCTGCTGCGTGTGTCTTTCGTCATGGACAGCACTGCACTGCCTGACAGTTGTCTTGGCAGTAAACCCCAGCTCTGAAAAGACTTAATTTCACACTGCAGATGAAGCCTGTTTCATTTCCTGAGCGGATCCATCAACAGCACCAGCCATCTGGCCCTGTAACTCACAATCACCAGCCGGAGCGCATCGTTCCTTCCTCCTCAGCAGTTAGTGCGTCAGTCAGGCAGAAGATCATTTGTGCCTTTCTCTCTCCTCCTTGTGTTCAAATCTCCTCCCTCTTGCTCTTCCCAGCCATATGCTAATATTGCTCCTAATATTATTCTCCGCGTGTGGGATCGTTGACTTGAGTGGGTTCAGTTTCAGGTAGATCTGGTTAAAGGGAGGATTACGAGTACGATAAGATGTCTTAATATCAAAACAAAAAAGGAGACATATGATAGGCTGATCTTATCCTCAGTAACTCTCTCCGTGTGCTTTGACAGTGGAATATTCTGAGCCCGAGGGTCACTTCTGGCCCCTTTTGTTAGAATGTGCCCAGTTGCTTGTCTTACTATTCCCCCATATTTTTAGACATGTCTCTGTGATGAGTTTCAACCTAGAGCTAAATCTCTATTTACAAAGTATCATAATTAGAGGATTTAGCAAGAACAATATCAAAGTGTATGAGCCCATCATACTTGTCAACCCTCCTGATTTTCGCGGGAGACTCCCGATTTCATTGCCCTCTCCCGGTTTCTTCCCGGGGTCATATTTCTTCCGCATTTCTCCCGATTTCTGACAAAATCAGATTTACTCAGGACTGTTTCCACTCGGACTTTAATACAGCTACACCATTGTTTGGTTTCCATGGTAACACGTCTCTTTAGTAGCGCGCGCAACTCAAAGTCTGAAAGGGTGAGGCAGATAGTCACAGAAAACAGAACAAGAATCGACAACTACTCTCTGCTCACTCCTTTCCTGTAAAATACAGGTCCAGCCCACACATATGCTCCATCAAGGACGGTGCTACAGGCCGCAAGGCAGTGCACTTACAACTACAATAAGCATGTTAATGTTAATCTAACAGCTCCGGCGATCCACTAGCACCTCCCCCCCCCCAATTTTGCATTTTGAAAGGCTCCCGATTTCTGAGGTCTCAAGGTTGGCAAGTATGGAGCCCATTGTAAGTGAAAGTCTGAAAAGTGATTGACTTATTCCAAACAGGACTTAATAAATAAAGTAATAGATCTAAATACAAACTATACTTGAACAACCCTTAGTTTATCTGTGGATTGATAATCTGTTCTCAGCATGGATACATTGTTTACATGTTTTGGGTACATGTTGATGGTAACCCCTGTGTGTCCCTGACAGGAGTCCCTTACAGCGAACACAGCAGCTTCCTGGAGATGAAGCGCTTCGTCCAATGGCTTCAGCCGCTGAAGATCATCCCCACAGTGAACAACGGCAGCTGGGCCAGCAGGAAGGCTATGGAGAGGTGCTTTAGTGAGTGGCTCAGCGAGGCTAAAGCTAACACCAAGTAATTCTCAATGATTTATGACCAAAATTATATTTGAACTAATGTTATTGCTTTTATTGAAGTTGCTTCAGAGTTCCGAGCTTTTATACTAACTTTGTATTGCAGTGCGTAGGTGGACATCATGAACTGAAAAACTACTAATAAAATAAAATAAAAGGTTGATATAGACTCTGCTCCTGTCCACAATAGGTTCAATTCAAATACTATTTATTGAGGTTGCACACGGATCATGTCTGCAGTTACTGTAGACCTTACCCAGAAGTATTATATACAAAGGAACTGAATTTAATTGATGTATTTACTGCCTGCTGGGGCATGTGCAAACGCTGCTTTGCAATTGTGCAATTTGATAATTGTATTTTTGTATTTCATATTTTTATGCTTAAAATAAAGCAATATTTCAGACATTCTTGTAACACTTGTACCTTTTTATGCAACATGAAATGTAAACTTAATATTATTTTTTTAAATAAATGATTGTACAGGTTATTATGCAACAGCATCAACGCCTCCTCAAGGATATAGAGTGTTAAGTGAGAATGCCCCTGATGTGATGTATATTTCACATTTTACAAAGAAATACGATTTAAAGTTGCCTTAACACTTCTTGTAAGTTTCCATCACAACGCATTTCATTAAACCTGTCGCCTCTATTCCTATTTCAAATCATGCATGTGCCTTCATGCTTATTAGCCCTTCACTGGTGGCCGATGTGATAACCACTGCATTACTGTCTCTGCCCACAGCAAGCCATTTCCAGCGAATCATTTCTTTTAGTAATGGCATATTTTATTCTTCCCTTAGGCATGAATAATATGTATGAAGTCCTAGCAAACTGATTGCCTGCGCCCGCTGCTTGTTGAAATGTCTTTCTGTTTTTTCAGCATATGTCTTATTCATGTCTGATTTTTGGGAGGGAAATGTGTCTACAAATAATAAAGAGTCGATCATATGTACAACACATCACAGTTAAGAGTTGTTATTAAAAATCGAATTGTATAATCCTGTATATTTTTGCAAAGATAATGCAATTAAACATCCCATGTTCTGGTAAACAGGATGCTCAGGTTATTGCTTAAGCTGATGCTGAATACCTGCCAACTTTGTATATTTAGACACCCTTCAGCTGTGACTTTATGCTTCTCTCAATAACAATGAAATGATATAGTTATACTAGCTGTTATATACATAAACCTTTAGAGATTTTGGAAGTAAAGGAGCTGGAATTATGTTAATCTGATCGTACTGCATTCCTTAGTCCAAAAAAGGCATTTGAAAAAATACAAATGGTCCGTTTAACAATCTGGTAATTAGTTTTATATTCAAATACAATTAAAACATTCATTCAACACTGATTTGCTGCACCCTCTGAGAGGATGGATTTATTTATAACAGAGTATTTAAAGTACAGTAATGTCTCATCTCGGATAATAAGCTCCATTTAAACTTAAAACAGTCATCTTGATAAGGCGTATAAAATGCCATTAGAATATTAACAGTGTAAGATGGTTTTGTATTTGATGATAACAGTTATAAAGCTCGGACTGGATGGTAGCACTTCAAGTGAACCAGCCTTGCAGATAAGTTCCATCTGATGTTGTCTGACGCGGAGAGGCATTGGTCACCAGACATAATTTAAAAAGGATAAGAAAACATCTTCCCAAACTATATTAAAATTACAATCCAGCAAAGTGTCTTCAGCTTTAAATCGGAGAGAAAGGGATGAAACGGCCAGATGAGCAACGCTATTCCCTTTGCATATTAATTCACAAGACTCACCCTAAGGTGTGGTGGACGGCATGAAATACTGGTTCTGTGATCTGTTTCGTCATTCATCCGCTCCTCATTACTTTCAAAGCAGACATATATGAATAGGAAAGGAATAATATGCAAGTAAGCCTTACTTTATGTAGCCACACAAACAAACAATGTATCCGTCATGCATTAGATTACAATCGAATTTCATCACAGGTGCCACCCACTGAGCAAATTGGAATTTACCCAGCATTGCTCAGTGATGACATTCGCACAACAACAATGTTACAGAGATTAAAATAAAGCTTTAAAATTCACTTCAACTTTACATTATATATATATATTTAATTAATTCATTTGGATCATAAATGTTGATTCAGAGCATCTTTTCTTAAGCCTTACATAATCTTCATGTTCTTCAAATCACTTTAAGTCACTTCCTCTCTTCTTGGATAGAGGTTAATTATAAAAAAAATAGCTTTCTTATAAAGTGCATATACAATTTTCTACACATTATGCCTTGTATTAAAAAAAAGACATTTGTGTTTCTTGGGTCTAGGCCTTGTGAGAATGTTCTTTTTGTAGTATCACAAAGGCGGTATGAGGAAATGTTTCAGTAAAACCCTTTTCTTTGTTTCCTTCCCCGTACAGCTTATCTACAGTCACTACGATACATAATAATAACATTATTAAAGGTCAATCTCTGCTAAAACTGCAAGTCATTGGCAACTAAATGTTTTTGATCTGTCCTGATATAACGTGAGTCATGAGATTTGGAAATCATTGTAACTTCCTCTAGACGTTTGAATCCGGTAAACCTTAGAGTGATAGATCAATATGAACTGCCTACATCCCGGGGAAAGTACTGTCCGTTTGTAAGGGAGTCAATACATGGTACAAACCAACATATTGTGGAAGTAACTCTCATGTTTAGTTTGCATTCAGTCGATGCAGTGGCCGTTTGGTGAATGCAGCGGTGGGCATCCAGGCCGGCGCAGGATTGTCACTTTCACCTGAAGAAAGGGAAATAATGGACCTTTTAGTTGACCTTTTACATAGTTATTGATATCATGAATGCTCAGTATCTTTTGCCATTTTTTCTGGACGTACCTCATTCTTGAGAGACTTGCTGAGGAACATGTTGAACTCGTCCACGGTGGCGCAGTGCAAGTCATTGATTGCCAGAATTTCGTCTCCTTTGTGAAAGAGGCACACAGTCTGTGGCTGGCCTGTCCACGCAGACACGCTACAACACACACATACACACACATAGTTTTACAGTAGATTAATCCTGGAGTTCGAAATCATAGAGTCATTTACATTGTGCCTTTTTTGTATTTGTACATCCATACAGATCTGTCCTTGCACTGAGGCCGACAGGATAAGGCTTCAGGGAGTCGTAAAAGCAGCACAGAGGATCATCGGCTGCCCTCTCCCCTCCCTGATGGACATTTACACCTCCCGCTGCCTCAGTAGAGCCAAAAACATTATGAAGGACAGCTCACACCCCGGCTTTCACCTGTTCAACCTGCTGCCCTCCTGCAGGCGCTACACGTGTATCATATCCAAAACAAACAGACTTTTCCCAAGAGCCATCATTGCTCTTAACAAATGAAATCATGTGAATCAATGTGACTCTGTACATATATACATATATATCATTACTATTATTATTATTATAAATACACACTATTATTATTATTATTTATTACATTACAGATTTTATTTGTATACTCCTGGACATAATTACTGCACTTTATTCCTTATTCCTTTATTCCTTATTCCTAAGTATGTATGCTGCGTGTATTCTGTTGTCTTATGCTGTGATGTTTTGTTTTTGTTTTGATAGCACCCTTGAAAGGGAGAAGCATTTATTATTATCTCATTGTACATGTATAATGACATTAAACGATTCTATTCTATTCTATTCTATTCTTGTGTCGGAGTATTCTCTCCAAAATAAAGTCACATAACATGCAGAACAGTCGGCTGATAGCTGATAACAGGTAAGGCTTGCCCAGTGTTCTCTGCAATGCAATTGCAAACCTTTTAAATCTGCTCTCCCCCCTCTGACAGCTGTCATTTCAGGTGACTCAATGCAACCCTCCTCCACCCCTTTTCACCTCCTGTCCCTCTGAATCCAGGGTCAAGCTAAGCCACTCCTCTTCAGACCGACCCACCTATCCATTTACCACCACCAGCGTCTAGACCCCAGGGGGGTTTCATCGGATCGGTTCTCCCCTGCCCTACATTTATTTGTGTATCCCTGGCAATAAATATGTATTCTTACATCAAAACCTGATTGAACTAACATTGTAGGTCAAACTAACTTAGATCTTACGGCCCAGCGTCTACACATACATTTTAGCTGTATTGTTTTCTTGTATGTGTAACACACATCTGACAAAAGAGAAACGCTCCAATCCAGAGGTCTAGACAATTCACATTTTGACTTGCACTTAGCAGAGTACTCAAGAGCTGAAGCATTTCTAATCTTTTGTCTTCTGTTTTACATGCGTAACAACAGTAATTATGTGTTGGGTTCCCTAAACTCAGTACTGTGCTTGAATGCACCCTGTGAGGACACCGATGCAGAGATAAAGAAACTGCTTCTCTGCGTAAATAGAGATAGGAATATAGATGGAGATATGCAGTTGCTGATTTTTCACAAAGTCTAGAAGACTTGGCCTTGTTTTATAGACAAACTTACCTTGGTTTCCCATCCACATCTGTTAGTGTCAGGTGCTTTTTCAAATCTCCCTGCTTGATCTCGAGGTCTCTCTCCTCCGGGGGGATGGTGTCAAAGCTTCTATTATCCAGAAGAAAATATGTCAGCCTGGGATGAAGTAAACAAGTTATTTGTTTACTTTTTTTATTCTAGCAGTTTTATAGACCAGGCCTTTAAACAATTCATTTGAACTCTGGAAGAAAGGTCGCCTCAGTTCCTAATGTGTATTGCCACATTATTCAACTATCATGACAGCATCTTCTTGCATAAACCTTCAGAAACCACTCAAACCAGACCAGCAACATGTCAGCGTCATCACCCTTTTTTTGTTCTCTGTAACCATTACAAAGCAGATTGACCTTGCTGATCTCTAATAGCACAGAGTGGTGGTTTAAAATGTGTCCTTTTGTCCTAACAAGAATAAAAAAGGTTGAATAAGTACTCATGCTAACTCTTTCTCAGTTGATCATCACACCCACATGTGCTGATTTATACTGTAAGACAAGAGAGGTAATAGTATCTACTTGGTAGTTCAGTTACTTTGTAATCTCACCTTTCAGAAGAGCTTCTTTTTTTCAGTGTTGGCACAATTGGTGCATCAAGCATATCGTCAGGAGAGATGGCACCGTTGTCACTGGAACTGGTGCTGAGATCTGACAGTGGACGTGTGTTTTTACCTCTGCAAAAGCAAGTTGATTATTACATCACACCTTAGTACACGTTTCACTTAGATTGTAATACAGATTTTGGCGCTGTATGATAAGTATTAGATGGTCATAAGTCTTGCCCTTGTTTCAGAAAAACGAAAACACAATCAAAGTCAATAAAAGGTAGTAGAAATGATTGATGGAGGGTGAAAGATGTGCAGTTCAAAAACCTAAAGAGTTTTCTCTCAGTTATTCAAAACCAGACATCTTGAGATGTTTTAAAAATAATTCATAAAAACAGCATGAGAGATACAAATCACTTTAAAGGCGCAACAGGAAATCTAATTAAGAAGCACTTTAGAAAGGAGTGTTTTGACCGATTTGCCAAATGTAGTAGAGGAAGAAGAGTCGTCAGTGTTGCAGCACAGCAAGTGGCCAGAAAACAAAAATCAGTGTGAAAACACAGAAGAATCACACAGTTTTGTGTTGAAGCATATTTCAGAAAACAAAACAGGAACAGGGGATGATTGCCTGAAACAGCAAGAAGACACACAATGTGGATCGCCTGCTGTATTGGTGATTAACACAATGTCTTTGTAAACAAGCAAGTCAAATCTGATTTGCCAAGAACTGCCCTCCTTGAGATGCTGAAGAAAACCAAAAGCCTGAAATACTACCTTTTGCATTTTTAGGGACTTGAGATAAGCAAAAGAAAGATGACTTGGTGCAAAAATTAAGGCATTGTCAGTTGTATGGAAAAACTAAGGCTACAGAAAGGGATGATGTTAACAAAAAATGTACTATTATTAATTGTCACCATCTGGTGAAAATTCCTGCATTTATCAGATGGTAGAAAACAGATTTTCTTTTTTGGTGCAGTCGTAAATTTCACTGCATATTTACATTTACATTTATCCTATAATAGTCACTTCTGGCTGCTGTTTATGCAAAAAGTCAAACATTTCACTTTAAATTGTTACAACAGTACTTGCATACATAGATTTTAAAGCATGTAATATGCATAATCACACGTATGAGTTACAGTGTAGTCAATTTTTGCTTTTTAGGGAGCTCAGAATAATAAACAAAAACAGCTAACGTATGAGATCAGTTACACCTGACCTGTAATTCAGCTTATGTCTTTTACCGCATGCATTATCATGACTCGATAAAATAAATCTGTGCAGATGTTCTGTTTTTAAGGTATAATGTCTACCACAACATGAAAAGACATATCTTTTTATAGCACATAAGTTGTCAAACAGGCTCTGAGGTGCGGCCTTTCTTAGATTCTTAGCTGGTCCTGGAGTGTCAACAGTTCTTTAAAAATAACTCCCTTCTTGTTGTTCGTTTAGGTGTCGGAGCCAATGAGGCCGCAGTAACCTCTGTTGTTGAGCGAGCTATTTTGGTATCTAGGGCACTGCCAAAACATGTAACACAAAGAGCATAGGGCACTGACACTGAAGACACAGTGAAAAGTCAAAAATAAACACACGGCCCACAAAAAAAAGGAGACAATGTTGTATTTCATCTGTGAGCTACCTGTCCTTAGAGTCTGTCTGAAGTGGGGAAATCCGAGTCTTCAGCTTGTCAAAGACTTGCGTGACAGACCTCATCAGGGTGCCTCCGGTCACTTGCTCAACTTCACCGTCCCTAAAAACATTTGTCACAATCATCTTCTGTTAATCTGAACATTAATCAGTGATTATTGATCATTTTGAATCTGTCCTTCTATAAAGCAAACTTACGCTGCCACTTGTGCTTGTCTTAATTCCGCCATCAACACATATCTGCAAGTAACAGATATTCAAAATAAGAGATGAACAAATAAATCATATTTATTATTGTATTAATGCAGGTCACAATTTCAGCATGTGTCAATTTAATAAAGTAATTACTAAGAATGAGAGTGTTTTTATTTTTTTTATTCGAACTGGAAATACTCAGATTTACAATTAACACTCACACTGAGTCCACGCTTTTGCGACGGGTGGTGCCATAGTACGCTGCTGATGGTGCTAAGTAGGCTCTGGGATTGTCATAGATTGGATTAGGCTCTGATGTAGGTCTTCTGATATTTTCTTCAGTCTAACAGACAATCAGAAAACAATTTGTTGTACTTAATGCAACCAAGACAAAATTCACCTCTACCATTATCATTGTAGAATACTCAATTAAATTAGATATGTGATTAACAAACAAGCCAAAATATAGCACCTCTGATTCTGCAGTGCCATTATCCAAAGCATAGGACGGTGGATCAGACAGGGACCGAATTTTCTGCATTGACTGAAAAATAAAAGAAAACACTCATTATAGCTCCTAGTACAAAAATCTAATATTTTTAAAATTATTCCTGCAGCAGAATGTGTTTTCTATAGAAATAAGACTTCCACCATTATTGCAGTTTATATGTTGCTTCAGCCACTTCATCTCAGTGTCCCTGGGTCTGATGTATCGGTAATACATTAAACTCGGATAAAATCGCCAGAATAGGTCATGTAAAAGTGAGGACTAAATGTAAAGGGAGGGCCCACAGATCAACAATGAGATAATATGGATACACATGTTTTTCTCCGCACAAAAAGAGAATAAACGATCAAATAGATTCACACAAAGGAATGATTGGTTGAAAGTATGCATGCATTTCGAAAGTTAAGCCTAATTCATGCAGAGTTTTTGTTGACATTGTATGGACCAACCTGTTCAGGCACTGTGGCAGAACCCTTTTGCCGCATAAAGGGTTTTGAAATAACCTGGTTCAACAAGAAGACAAGACTATTTTTTAAAAGTCAAAAAGAGAGTTGATCGATAAGCATGGTTGATAGATTTAAACTGTATGGTAGTCGTTTTTGCACTTGTCAGAGACTCTGAAGGGATTCAGACTGCCCAGGTGTTGTGATAATGAAGGAAGATGTAGATAGCAGGAAATTGATTTAAATGAATGTAAAAATTAAGTACCAAAAGAAAAAAAGCTACTCATTGGAAAATAAATCATGTTTACATTCATTTGAGCCAGGCAACGAGTAATGCGAAAGAAAAAAAACATGATGAAGTATAAAGGAAATCGTTAAATATGTTATAAAATGTGTTTATGTCTTTCCAAGAATAAGATGAAAACATTGATACCATCACTGCGAACAATCTGTAGCTGGAGCCAACAGTCTGCTAGCCTAGCTAGCACAGCGACTGAAGACAGGGGGGAGGAAACTAGCCTGACTCTGTTTCAAAATCTGCCAACAAACGTCTTTTAAGTTCACTTACATGTTATATCTCATAGTTGCTGTATTTCTTAGGAGCACTGACTAACTTGTGTGTGCCACCTGGAAGTTAGCATTGTGTTGCTAAGCTAAGCTATCTGGCTGTTAGCTTGAGCAACCTTTTTATCTTACTTATGTGCCATAATCTTTTCAACTTACTCTTGGCAAGAAAGTTAATAACTGTTTTTAAAAAAAAAGTAAGCTACTTCTGTACAGCAGTCGGTTGTCAACGAGTTAAATACTTTAAATATTTACCTCTATGGTTTGATTCACATTTGACAGTTCCTTTAGTAAAAAAAAACACATTTACATTGTAAATAGATGAACAAACATAGATACAAAGAAAAGTGAAGTAGAAAAGACACTTGGTCTTATAATGCTGTTACAAATCATGATAAAGAAATAGAATCTCAATGTACCTCAGAATTCTGACATTTATGTGGCCGATTCTTCAGGGCCTCAAACAGGTCAGAGAACCAGCCGTCCACTTCCTCACTAAAGCATGAAGGACATATGAAACACTTAAAAATCTAATTTTGAGACTCAAAGAAAATATGGCAATTACATCTATTTTAAAAGTCAATTCCAAAATCCAGAGTGGAAATAGTGACCATTAGAAACCAATTTTTCTTAGCCAAGTGGAAGGAAAAGTCATGTTTTAGATGATAGACTACTAGTCAACAGGAAAGCAACATCATTATTCATTTTTGATTGTTAGAACGCTCAAAATAGTGGATGTTGAGAAGGGCAGGGGAAAGTGTTATATGAATAATAATTTGGTTTAGAAAATCCCCTTTGACCAATCATTACAAATAACTAAATATCCAGCTTTAAATTGAGATATCACATTCGGTTGCTTTTTTTTTAAATATACACCTTTTTGTGTTTTTGTAGAGTAGAATGAAAGATTATTGAGTTTCAAGAGTGTGTGAGGTCAGGAGTCTTACAGCACAGTGATAGTAAAAAGCATGGAAATTGGAAGCTTCTTAATTTTTCACCCCAGTGTTTTATCCCCTGTAAAAAAACAGCTGACTGACCTTGTCTCCCCGACAAGGAAGTATTCCCGGCCAGCTGCCCTGATAAAGAGCACACATGATGGAGCACACTTGAAGCTTTTCTGGACCCATGCCCATCTCTGGTGGTTTTGAGGGGAAACAGATAACAGCGATATCCTGAAAAAGGGACACAAATGACACAAACACTGTAAGTTGAGCTGGAGGGGATCTCTACTTAAAACAAATTGCTATTGCATTTAGGAGCTATGAAATGCTTTAAATGAATAATTTCTCAATTAATTGGCATTGAGCGATAACATACTGTGATAAGTCTATCCCTCCAAGCGGACTGTCCCTATCATCTGGACTCCTGAAGTATTTCAGTAGGTATTCTTGTTCACTGATTTTGAAAAGCACAAAGTAACGCTTCTTCCATGATTTCTGCAGGGGAAACAAGAGAAAATAAATAATGAAATATTGCAAGAAACAACACATGTTGTAGAGATGAAATCATTTGTATTTGTTGCTGTAAATCTGTCACCTCTGTCTTCAGCAGTTTTTGGGGAGGAGATTTGTACAGGTATCCAGATCTCACCTCCGCTATCTTTTCTACTGGTTTGTAGAACACCGTATTTACATTACATTGCATTTTTCCACCTGAGAGCAAGAGAAAAGCCTGTTGTTTTGTGATCATTTGCTTAGATCTCATCTTTGTTTTTATAAATCCGCAAATTTCCTTCACTGTAAATTATATTTGGGGAAACCACCAAAGGAATACAATGAACAAAGAAAGAAGAACTGAACAAATTAGTTTGTTACAAAATCAATTAAAACAATCATCAAATTATGAAAAAGAAAAAAACCTTACTACAGTATTAATGAGTTGGTTAACATTGGCACCATTAACATCAGGTTTGCATGTCCAATTATCAATAACAATATGTATAAACCGGTTTCCTCTATGCAGCACCAAAATGCCAATAAGTAACTACACCTGAATGCAACGATAAATCACATTTCCAGATGTGATATTTTACCTGGGCTCTTCTGGCTCTTAAGCATTGTGACACCACACCTGAACAAAAGAACACAGGAATGTATCAGTCCCTCTCGTTTTAAAACAGCATACAAATATCCAGAGGGAAATAGTTAAACAATCAATGCAGGGTTTGAATAGGCTCAAGTCTTTGTGACAGCATTGAGCTCTATACACAAAACAAAAGCCACGTTAGGCGCAAGTGAATGAGAAAAATAATAAAACTTTATCTTCATAATTGTAGAAAAAAAGCCTTTTATTAAACTTGTTTGTTTTTAAATTATTATTGTTACGATCTGTCTGTGTTGTGTTTTGTCTTGTCTAGATCTGTCTTTGGTTTCCTGTTTTATTTTGAAAAGTGTTCACCCCCGTCTTGTCTGTTGCTTCCTGTCCCTGTGTTCCCCTCTGCCTGATTACCCGATTGTGTTCACCTTGTGCCCCTGCTTTCTCCTCCCTCCTCACCTGTGTCTTGTTTGTGTCATTAGTCTTGTGTACATTTAAGTTCTGGTTTTTCTGTCTGTCGTTGTGAGATTCTTGATGTTGCTGGAAGGATTTTGTTCGGAGGGATTTCTACGTTATGCCTTATTTTACTTTGTTGCCTGGCCTAGTTCCGCAATAAAAGTATTTTGGATTTCAAACAACATTCTGCATTTGGGTCCTGTGTACCTTGAGTTACATTCATTTACCTATTCATTGGCTTTCTGCTATGGTAGGTGGAGGGGAGCGTCCAGTGTTGAGCAGAAAGAGGCTGCTCTGGCAGAGGCGCACCAGATGGCAACAGAGAAACCATGTTTATTGAAGTTCTTACCTGGCTGGATTATGGACTTCCTCCAGATATGTGATTCCCAGCCTGCTAGCCCCAGGCATGCAAGCCCCCTGCCTCCCAATTCCCAACCTGACACCATAC